TGGTACTGAGTACCCGTGAGTACCCACAGGGGGAAAGCACTGCACGGCACTCAGAACTCATAAACACTATTCATTATTAATTCAAGCACTACCCCATCTCTTCTCACTTCCAAGTGTTGTGCTGTTAATGCTGGCAGTGTCCTCATCCCATTTATGACACATCTGGCAGGGGATTTCAGAGCTTATGGGGAAGCGGTGAATAGATATTGAGCCGTGGTCAATGGCTATTATTGATTTCTTTTATCTTCTTAATGGTGCTCTGCATTAACACAATAAATGCCTTTCTGTCTATCTTTCTGTTGATTGATCATTTGATATGATCATAATATTTACATTTTTATTGCCCCAATGTCAAAGAAAGGGCTCCCCATAGTGACAATGGGGATGATGAAGGGGACAGAGCCTCAGAGAATGCCAGAGACATGGCTCCCCAGAGAGAGAGAGTTAGAAGAGGAGGAAGGAGTAGTTATCCTTCCTTCCCAACGGTTTGAAGACAGCTCATCACAGCCCCCCTTCTCATTGGCTGGAGAAGAGGAGATAAATTTTCATGGAAGTGAGAGAGGTCTGGAGAGCCTCCAAGACACTGATAAGCGGTCTCTAGCAACAACAGAAGGGGGGTATTCATCAGAGGAAGGGGTACGATGCCATCCAGAATCCCTCCACTCTCATATTTTAACAAAGGTCAAGGAAAGATGTCAATTAATCTGAAGTCATTGCTCACACAAGCAAAGAAAGCAGGGATGGCAGGCACCACCCAACAGCCAATCATTGGCCTTTAAAAAGCCCTATTCCTTTACCCCTATGGTTTGCTAGTAAGACATGCTAGCAAAATAGCCTGATGGCAAGTGTTTGGCAGGTGTGTAAGATGAAACTCTAATTCTAAGACACAGCCACCTTCATTCCAGGACTATCACTGCTTGGGTTATTCAGTCAAGTTACTAGCTTTACCAGAGACTGTCACTCTCCTGATTTAATTATTTTTCAGAGAGATCAGGAACCAAACTTTTCTTTCTCATTGCTTCATGGCAGAGAAGGGATATTTGTGGACATTTAGATGTCATTGAAGTTTTGGTTATGCTGGGAGCGTTTGACGGAAGTTGTTGTCCAACAAAAAAGCACCAAATTATTAATGCACCAGCTTTAGGGAATGGTTAAAACTTGTGGACTGTTCCATAAAGATGAACCATTTTTTTCCTACCCAAAGTGTCACTCAGTATCAAAGCTTTGAAGAGGCAATTATTTCCCTCTGCAATTATTCTAATAATTATAATTTGCTCACCATTCTGAAGCTTCTGGTGCTTTCTAGAGGGCAGGCAAAAACAGTCGGTAAGCAAGCCTGAAAGTAGTTATAAATTAACTCCTTATGCCATTAGGCGATAATTAAGTGCAAGAGGTAGGCAGGTCCATCTATGACATGTTCTCCTTTTTGAATCTTATAAGCCACACTAGGACGTCTAGGATTGGCAATCTCACAAAGGATGCAAGTTACAAATTAGGGAATTTACAGAGTCAAATTACTGTTCTGCCAGCATGTAAGAAATAGCACTGTTGATGCTCCTGCTGACTCCCCTTGTGTCCCAAGAAGAAACTATGAAACGTCACACTGGTGATCCCCTCCCTGTTCCACATGAATGGTACCAACTAGGTTGCCTCCTCATTGGTGGGATTGCTTCTCATATCTCTTATATAGACAACCAAGTTACTTTTGAGGAACACCCTTCTCAGAACCTGTTTGACTTTCCACAGTAAGGATCCCCCACTCCGTCTGCATTTTCTAAGTTGTATACCTTATAATTATTAAAAGTATATGTGGATACTCTCCTAAATATGAGAGCTTTTTCTGTTTGGGAATGCAGGGTGTTGGATCATGAATACTGCAAGCCTTCTGAATAAACATGGAACTTCTGCATATGAAAACCAGCACAACCTTTTGTGTGCACTCTATGGGTGCACACAAAACTAAAATCTCAAAAAGGGGGGATATAAAAGCACAGACTTATGTCGCTTGGGATGGGATGGTGGTCAGCTAATGGAAACTATAGTCTTTTTCAGCTCTAGTATAATTGCCTTTTTGGGAAAACAAATTATATTTTTTCTTCTTGGAGAACTCTTAAGTACCTCAGATCATACTCTTTCTCAAGCCACCACATATCTTAATAAGTAATGTTTAAACTAGAGGCCATTGATGTGGGTATTCGACAATGCATTTGACAGAGAAAATAAAAATGTATTGCTTTGTCCTGCTGATGAGCTCTCAAAGTATGTCACAACATGTGCATTGCATATGTCAAATATGATCTGATGCAGCATAGATTGTTTATATTTTTTCAACTGAAAAAGATTTTACTAGCTGTGGGGATCTCAGAAACAAATAGGAAGAATGTAAAAAGTAACAATCTGATTTTAGAGGTGAAATGCAGCACTATTTTGCATGTGTCCATGCACACACATGGACACACAATCACTTAATGATAAAGGGCTGCAAATAATTGAATCAACATGTGCTTAGATAGTAAAATGAACAATAAATTGACAATCTAGACGCAATCTATGATGCAATAGAATACTACACTTTTCACTCTTCATAGATTGGTATGCTTAAAATTTGTTGAAGAAGATGCTATGCATAAATTGTGGCACATGGGAAACAAATAGAAGGCTATTGCAAAATTGTGACTCAGTTACACGTATAAATTTCTGGGTTTGTAGCATAATGAGTTTGTGTATCATGGAAGCATCTTCTGAGATATTAAAATAAACTCTCTTGGCAGTGTCATAACCAAGTACTACCAGCACAGCCTGGCTTTAGCATTTGCTGTAAATGAGATCAACAAGAATGCCAATATCCTGCCCAATGTCACCCTCGGTTTCCACATCTCTGACAGCTATGACAGTGCAAGGATGACCTATCGGACAACACTGGACCTGATTTTCAAGTCACATACATTTTTCCCCAACTACAAATGTGGCAAACAGAAACCCCTTCTTGCCATTATTGGAGGACTTGGTTCTGACACCTCTGTCCTTATGATGGACATCATTGGTCTCTACAAAATTCCACAGGTAATATCTGTGCATGTGGATGTTGAAAAATTATTTATTACTCAGCTTTGAAGTCCAAAGAAGGGAGTAATATTGATGACAAGAAGAAAAATATTGGGAACCTTATAATATCCCTATAACTCAACATAACTTCTCAAGTATGGAAAAAAGAGTACTGTACTTGATTAAATGCTTATATAAAGATACTGTGTTGAAAGTGTGCTGCTCCACAAATGGACAGCTTACAGGATCTGTACCACCCACAAAGGGAGTCAAGCAAGGGTGTATTACAGCCCCAGCACTATTCAACTTAAATATAAATGATATTGTCCAGTGTCTAACATCTCCAGAGTATCATGCCCCCAAATTGACCATAAAACCTATATCAATGCTGTTATATGCCTCTATCCCAAACAAAAGTAGCGTTAAAAAGACTGATGAGTTGGTATTTTCAGGAGATTGCCAGAGAGAACAGCTGGCCATGAATTACAAGAAAGTCCATGGTTTTTTCAAGAAGCTATAGGGCCCATAGATGGCTTATGGACAACCAGCCAATTGAACAGGTCAAAGTTTTCAAATATCTTGGCCTTATTTTCCAGTCTGCAGGGTCATGGGGAGCACACCAGAAATGTGCAAAAGAAAAAGTGTCCCAAAAAGCCAAAATATTGCCATGGCCTTTTCTACACAAAAGGTTGAAAACATATACGATCAATCATGGAAGTGTTCCATGCTAAACCCCTAGCACAGTTATGATATGGGGCTCAGATTTGGACAGCCATTCACCTTGGATCTATGGAAGCTGTCCAATCAAAGTTCTTAAGGTAAATTTTCTCTATACTACCCTCTGTCCCAAACACATCATTGTGTCTAGAGCTAATCTTCTGTCCATAGAATTATGGATTTGGCATAGGATATTTAACTATGGGCTTCTCCTAAATTTAAATCCCCCAAGTCTAATACCCCTAGTGCTGCAAGATCGTCACAAGAGCGCCTGGACTAAAATTGTCTATCAGAAGCTTTACTCTTGCGGTTTATCACCACAACAGCTACTTGTTTTGGGTTTTCGTAAAGCAAACAGTCTAATTTGTCAGCGCCTAAATGATATCAAGCATCAGAACAACTTGGCCACAATAAGGAAATTTTCCCATAGTATGACTATTTTCCACCTACCCATTTCAACTCTCCTGCACCCTATATGCATAACCTAGCAATTCTAAAATATAGATGTACTTTTACTCTTGCAAGATCGAATGTATTGCCCTCGAAAGTACTTGAGGAACAATTCCAACAGATTCAGCATGAAAAATGCTTATGTCCCTGTGGAGATTGCAGTACCGAATCTGTGGCGTATATCCTTCTGGCCTGCATTCTTTATAAAGACTTGAGGAATGAGGTTATCACCCCTCTTTTATTTTCCATTCTGGGTCTCCCAGCCACTGTGACAGTGTCCTTTCTCTTGGCAGATCAAAATGAGCAGGTGACAGCAAAGATTGCAAGGTTTTTAGCTGCTGCAATTAGAATAAGATCCATTATTTGACTATTGATTAAAAACCCTAATATGTATTTTGTATAGCTGACTTTTTATTTTTATTCTTTGTGTATAGTATTGTTGCTTTATTGCTATGGCCAATGGCTGATGCAAATATTCATTCATTCATTCTGTCAATGTGGATGTTGGAAACTTATTTATTACTCAGCTTTGAAGTTCCAAAGAAAGGAGTAATATTGATGACAAGAAGCAAAATCTTGGGAATATTATAATAGCCTTTTAACTCAAGATAGATTTAAAAATACGGCAAAAATACTAGTTCCCCAATCCACTCCCAGGCACGAACTTTTGAAATACATAGATGGGCATTAATGAATCTTTGTTGTCTCTGCACATTGTCTTACAGCTGATATATGGCTCATTTGCACCAGATGAGATCCAAACAATGGGTGCTCCTCCCTTTTACAGCATGGTTCCAAATGAAAACCTTCAGTATATGGGGATTATATGGCTACTTGAGCATTTTAGCTGGACCTGGGTTGGGCTCTTTGTTGTGGATGATAACAGTGGAGAACAATTCCTCAGAATACTGGAGCCAATGTTTTCCAGGCATGGAATCTGTTCAGCCTTCACCAAAAGAATCCCACAAGAAGTTCGTATGGAGGAATTCGTAAATCAGTTTAATGATGCAAGTCCTGTTGATATATCTTTCCAAGATAATAAAGCTGGTACAATTATCATGTATGGAGAGTCTTTTACAATTTTGTGGCTGAGAACTTTTATATATTCACAGGATTCAGGAAATAAGGAAAATCCATTATCTGGAAAGGTGTGGATTATGACAATGCAGATGGATTTTATATTAACGGGTGCTGCAAGAGGATGGGGTTTTCAGATGTTCCAGGGTGCCATTTCCTTCACAATTCACACAAAAGAAGTACCAGGTTTCAGAGAATTTCTTCAAATCATTAAGCCAAATTGGACTCAAGGAGATGGGTTTCTCAAAGATTTCTGGGAGCAAGCCTTTGACTGTTTCTTTCCAGATCCAGGGGTGCCTATAATGGATGATGACAGCTGTACTGGAGAGGAGAGGCTGGAAAGTCTCCCTGCTGGACTTTTTGAAATGCACATGAGTGGCCACAGCTACAGCATTTATATTGCTGTCTATGCTTTGGCTCATGCTTTGCATGCCATGTACTCCCCTAGGTCCAAGCACAGGCCAATGCTGGTTGATAGCAATATTGAACTTCAGAACCTGAAGCCTTGGCAGGTAATGTCTACCAGAAAGTATTTGAATATACAGTGTAGTACAATGTGAAGCTACATTCAGGTTACTCCTTAAGTCATTAATGCAAATATTGTGTTCATATTTCTTTCTATAACTGAATCTTGCAAATTGCAGAGCGTGGTTATCCATTAATCCCCTCCCCCCATCTTTTTCAATTAGCTTCACCTGTTTCTTCAAGACATTTCATTTAACAACTCAGCTGGAGAAACTGTGTCCTTCAACGATAAACGGGAAATGAGAGGTGGATTTGACATCATGAACCTGGTTATCTTGCCAAATAACTCATTCCAGAAAGTGAAAGTTGGGAGGATTGATCCCAGTGCCCATGAAGGGAAACGATTCACCGTCAATGAGGATAGAATTGATTGGCCCAGAGTTTTCAATAAGGTGTGGATTCTGTTTGTCTTTAATTTGAAAACTGTGTCAAATTTTCAATGCATTGTTTATTAACTCTGAGGTTTACATCACTTGGGTTCTTCATATCTGTGATCCTGAAATACAGTGGTATCTCAGGTTAAGAACTTAATTCATTGTGGAGGTCTGTTCTTTACCTGAAACTGTTCTTAACCTGAAGCACCACTTTAGATAATAGGGCCTCCTGCTGCCGCTGCACCGCTGCTGCACAATTTCTGTTCTTATTCTGAAGCAAAGTTCTTAACCCGAGGTAATATTTCTGGGTTAGCGGAGTCTGTAACCTGAAGTGTATGTAACCTGAAGCATATGTAACCCGAGGTACCACTGTAATAGGTTAACTCTGCCACTCTGATGGCAAAGAGTCTGTTGTTGGTAGTGGTTCACAGAACCTTTTAGAAGTAACTGCGCTGGAGATAAATAAGGTGGTGACTTCTGGGGAAATGATGGTTTGCTGAATTCCTTGCGCCTCTGACATATCCCCCAGCAATACCCACTTTCTAAGAGTTTGACACGGATCCTGAGCAGAATAAAAACTTCAAAGTTCATTTCATTCATTCTGATTTACTTACTCTCCCCTCCATATTTGAATATCTTATAATCAACACCCTTTAAGCATGACACAGGAGATTTTATCTCATTCAGATATTATAGCCAGTGCTTTTTTACTGGGGGGATGCAGGGATATGCATAACCCTAAATATTTTGTGAATCTAAGTTTGGCCTCTTTGAGGGTCTGTATTTCAATACGAGAAGAAAATGACAATACCCCTAAACATTGTTTATTTTGGGGGAAGCACTGATTATAACTATTTGATAATTTCCTTTTATATATAGTATGGAGAAGCTATATTCTAATTTAAAAAACTGAGGGAAGCAGATTTCATCCCTGTCAGTCTGAGATGAATACGTCCACTGTTATAATTGTCCCAGAAGGTTTAAAATCAAATCATTTATTCTGCAAACACATAAACTTAAAAATTGTAACTTTTGATACTAGGCTATATGAGCAATTGAAGAATAACTTGTCTTGAATATTCCATTTATTTATTTATTTATTTATTTATTTATTTATTTATTTATTTATTTCAACAGTTTATTTACCGCTTAAGTAAATAAGATCAGTTAAAGTTAACCAAAAGTATATTCATACTAATTTTTCCCCTGTTTGTGGATAGGTGCTTCCTCTTTCGGTGTGTAATGAACAATGCCATCCTGGTCATCAGAAGAAAATGAAGGAAGGGGGAAAATTTTGTTGCTATGATTGTGTCCAATGCTTAGATGGGAAGATATCAAACCAGACTGGTGGGTTATGTAATTTTGCATCACATAGTTTGTTTGTTTTTTACTTTGTTGTGCCACACTAATTGACACTGAATTTAGACCTTTTTTCCCCTATTTTTCAGATATGGATGACTGTTTCAAATGCCCAGAAGACCATTATGCAAACAAAAATAAAAATGGTTGCATCCCTAAACTTATTACCTTTTTATCATACGAAGAACCTCTAGGGCTCACTTTGACCTCAGCTGCAGTTTCTTTTTCACTGACCACAGCCCTGGTGCTAGGAATGTTTATTAAGCACAGAGATACCCCAATAGTCAAAGCCAACAACAGGGACCTTTCCTACACTCTCCTCATCTCCCTCCTGCTCTGTTTTCTCTCTTCTTTGTTATTCCTTGGCCATCCTGGGAAAGTAATATGCCTCCTCCAACAAGCAGCTTTTGGCATCATCTTCTCAGTGGCTGTTTCTTGTGTGCTGGCCAAAACCACCATAGTTTATCTTGCATTCATGGCTACAAAACCAGGATCAAGAATGAAGAAATGGGTGGGGAGGAAAGTGTCCTATTCAATTGTAATTGGCTGTTCACTTGTTCAAATAGGTATTTGTACTGTGTGGCTGGCAACCTTTCCCCCATTTCCTGATTTAGACATGCATTCGGTAAATGAAGAAATCATTATACAGTGTAATGAAGGGTCAGTCGTCATGTTCTACTGTGTCCTGGGCTACATGGGTATTCTGGCCATCAGCAGCTTCATTGTGGCATTCCTTGGCCGCAAGTTACCCGACAGTTTTAATGAAGCAAAATTCATCACTTTCAGCATGCTGGCATTTTGCAGTGTTTGGCTGTCCTTTATTCCCACTTACCTGAGCACAAGAGGGAAAGACATGGTGGCTGTGGAGATCTTCTCCATATTGGCCTCCACTGCTGGGTTACTGGGCTGTATCTTTTGCCCGAAATGCTACATCATTGTGTTGCGACCAGAACTGAATAGCCGGGAGAAACTAATAAGAAGAAAGTATTAAGGAATCTTATATTTTCATTATATCATACAGTTATACATGCCTTAGGAGCGGGTCAGAATATTGGTAGATATTCATTTCCAATTATATCAATGTCTCTTGGCAAAGTTTCTGTTGATGTTCAGATTTTGCCATAGTTGAAAAAAGACATTTTGTGAAATGAACTATCTCTTTCAAGAAACATTTTCCTAGCCTAGGGAGTAGTTTGGGCAGAGTTCTGGTGCTCATTGCCATGTGCATCAGGCTCACTAAAATCGAAAATAGTGGAGAATGGGGCAGAATTATAAAGCAAGGAAGCAAAACTAAACAAGCTTAGAGGAAATGGGTCAATATCAAATATTAACAGTTGGAAGAGCTAGATGTGCTTAGTCTGGAGATTAAGGGGAGACATGATATCTGCCATTAATATTATTACAGGGTGCGTAGTTAACCAGTTATCAAATGTACACTCTATGTCTACTGCCTTATCTTTCTTACGACGCGGTACCGGCTTAAACTTGGAACTGCAGCAAACCCCGCCCACCTGTTGGGAAGGGAGGGCAGAAATTATCTGTGCTCCTCTGTTAAAGTTGGAGCCTCTTGGCCAAAGTGGGCAGAACCATCTGGATTTGAGTGCTCATTATTGACCACTCATCCATTCCCTCAAATCTTTGTTAGAGAAGTAAAATTAAATTGAAAATTTCTTTTCTCTATCTGATGTCTGAGCGAGGGACATGATATAAGATGGCAAGAAATCAATGCTGTGGTATAAGTTGCAATTCCAATCACACTTATGTGGTAATGAGCCCCAATAAATTCATGAGTTTTATATCTGAGTAGATATGCATATGTTTGTAGTCCTAGATGCCTTTGTAATGCACCCAGTGAACTTCATGGATGAGTTCGGATTTGAAACCTTGAGCACAGTTACAAGTCAAAAATAAACAATGGCTTTTAGGATAAGATAATGTGAGATAAACAGAAAGAAGCTAGCAGGAAAAATAAGAGTTAGAAACTGGGGGGGGGGGGAATCATGTCATATGCAGCAACAGAAAGAAATGGTGTGTTGAGTTGCTCCTCCTAGTTGCCTACAGAGGAGAACAAGGGACCTTTCCCAATATAACCCTTGTTTGTTTCCCAGTTTATTTCCCATTTGCTTTCCTTCTATCTTGCAACAGTATTTTGGAGCATCTCCAGCATTCACCAGAAACTGTTTAGTGAAGATGCCAGGCATACTACTGTGGAGTGGGATGCCACAGTTTATGTGCCACAGAGAATGCTCATAAGGCCTCACAGTCCTGTTGGAGACTGATTCTCATGGAAATCTGGAACCAAGGTCCCATTTCTTATCTGTTCAGGGAGCAGAGAAGACTTCTGGTCAAAAAAGGAAGACAAGAAACAATGTGTTTCCTACAAAATGTGTCACTCAGTATCAAAGAACCTAGAAAGCAATTTACCCTCACATACACACACAATTATCCATAACACTATCATTTGCTCATACGGTCAAATCTCCAGAGACTTTGAAATGGGCAGGAGGAAACAGTCAGTAAACAAGTCTGAAAGTGGTTATGAATGAATACCTGTGCCATTGGAAGCTTGGATTAAGTGCAAGAGGCTGGCAGGGTCATATCAGACACACTTCTTATTTTACCTGTTATAAGCTCAATGTAAGGAAATAGGTGCAAGGCAGCTCATATTTAGAAATAAGATTTGAGGGAAGCATGTTAGGAAAAGCATGGCTACTGCTTCTTCTGCCTTCCATTGTGTCCAAAGTAGGTCCCATGAAATGTCTCACAGGTGATCCCCTGCCTATACCACATGGATGGTACCAGCCAGGTGGTCTCCTCATTGGTGAGATTACTTCTCAGATCATTTACTTTTTCCATGAAGTTTCGTTCAAGGAACATCCTACTCACAACCTCTTTGATATTCCACAGTAAGGATCTTCCTTTCTTGATCTTTTAAATTGCATGAATTGTGTGAGTTTAGAGAAAATAAGGGGTAGTATCCAATGTTGTAATGCTTTGTGTGTGGGGAGAATCCACAGAAGTCAAAGCATGTTTTATAACATTCATGGAAGTCAACTCTACGTGTATATTATGCACTGGAAAGAGAGAGTAAATATATTGATATATTTTTCTCAAGAGATCACAAAGAAACTATGCATTACAGATGACAAATCAAATTGTTTTCTGTAAGAAAGTATAGCTAAAGGTTTGGCTGGCGAGAATGGTGGTGCTTGACTGTAGGGAATCAGAAACAAATGGAAAAGAAATTCTTAATCCTGTGAAATTCAATTTCTCATATAGATTAATGGGGTTACACCATAACAGCTTCATGCATTGGAGATACATCTTTTGAATTAGGGAAAAAAGCCTATTGTCATGGTGGTGACCAAGTCCTAGTAGAATGAATTTCCCTTGGCTTTTGCTGCAAATGAATTCAACTCAGTAACACACAGGAATTACTAGGTTTATAGAATAAGAAATTTGTGTATTTTATATTCACCTTCTGAATTAATGAGAGTAACATTATTGACAGTGTCGTTACCAAGTTCTACCAGCATATTCTGGCCTTGGTGTTTGCCATAAATGACATCAACAAGAATCCCAATATGCTACCTAACGTCACACTTGGTTTCCACATCTCTGACAGTTTTTATGACGCAAAGATGACCTATCGCACCACACTGGATCTGATCTTCAAGTCAGATAGTTTTCTTCCCAACTTCGAATGTGGGGCACAAAAAAAACTCCTAGCAATTATTGGAGGACTTGGCTCTGACACCTCTTTCCGTATGAGGGACATCACTGGTCTCTACAAGATCCCACAGGTATTATGTACTCAGGGGTATGTGGGGATAGCAATACTCAATTTGGAAGTTTACAAGAAAGAAGCAATATTATTAAAATCATTTTCATTGAACTATTTTCATGGATAACAAAGATGCATATAACATTTTTTTTTTCATTTCATAGAGTCCTATCTACAGGTCAGTTATATTTTGTGTGATTCATTGCTATCATAGCCATTGTGATGTGTGGAGGGGAGAAAATGTAGGGAAGGAGGGGTGGGAGAAAGAGGGGGTGATGATTTTTTCTTCTTTTGCATAGTGCTTGTGGTGTTTTTTTGTTTCATCATCATGTGGCTAGGTTCTTCATCTATTTGTTTATCAGTTTTCATCAGTGGTAAGAGAGATTGAGGAGCCAGAAAGAAGCAATATTAATGACAAAAATTAAAATTTTGGGAATAGTATTAGCTTTCGATAATTTGATAAAATTAGCATAGAAGTGTCCTTTACTAGTTCTCAGCAATTGCATACAACTTCAAAAGTGGATATTGCATCAACCCAATCCTAAACACAGCCTCTTGAAACAGACTAAACCATCTAGCCATTATTGGAGGACCGGGCTCTGACATTTCTTTCAATTTGATGAACATTTTAGGTCTATACAAGATAACACAAGTAGGATATATGCATGGGTGCTGATGGTGATAGTATATTTTTTTCTATATTTACTACTTGCATGATGTGCAGAAGAAAGAATTAGTGACTTAGAATTTGGCTGTATCTGCAAATAAAATGACATTTCAAAATTCAGCCAGAAAAAGACCCTACTCTCACCAGCTTCAAAAATTCTTTTGGGAAATATATTTTCTCATGCAGAAGTTCCTAACAACAGCCTCCTGAAAAAGTAAACTACTCCTGACTTATCTCTGCAGTATCTGTATGTTTTCTTACAGCTTACATACGGCTCATTTGCCATAGATGAGACCAAAATAATGGAAGTTCCTCCCTTTTACCGCATGGTCCCAAACGAAAACCTTCAGTATATGGGGATTATATGGTTACTTCAGCATTTTAGGTGGACATGGGTGGGGCTTGTTGTTGTGGATGATAACAGTGGAGAGCAATTCCTCAGAATACTGGAGCCATTGTTTTCTAAACATGGAATCTGTTCAGCCTTCACCAAAAGAATCCCACAAGAAGCTCGTATGGAGGAGTTCATAAATCAATTTAATGATGCAAGTCCAATTGATGTATCTTTCCAAGATCATAAAGCTGGTACAATTATCATGTATGGAGAATCTTTGACAATTTTACGGCTCAGAACTTTTATGCATTCACAAGATTCAGGAAATACAAAAACCCCATTATTTGGAAAGGTGTGGATTGTGACAACCCAGACAGATTTTATATTAACCGGTTCTATAAGAGGATGGGATTTCCAGATGTTCCAGGGTGCCATTTTATTTGCTATTCACACAAAAGAGATTCCAGGTTTCAGGGAATTTCTTCAGAATATAAAACCTTACAGGACTGAAAGAGATGGTTTCCTCCAGAATTTCTGGGAGCAAGCATTTGATTGTTTATTTTCAGATCCAGGTATGCCTGTGATGGACGAAGACACATGTACTGGGGAGGAGAGGCCAGAAAGTCTCCCTTCGGGGCTTTTTGAAATGCACATGACTGGACACAGCTACAGTATCTATAATGCTGTTTATGCTTTGGCTCATGCTTTGAATGCCATGGACTTTGCTAGATCCAAACATAAATCAAAGATAGTTGGCAGCAATGTCAAACTTCAATCTCTGCAGCCTTGGCAGGTAATGTCTCTTCAGCAAATGCTTCATAGTTCAGTGAACAGTTTGGTACAGATTGAGAATGCATTGCTTTTTCTCCTTCTTGGATTAATAATGACAATATTCCACATCTTTCTCATTTTAAAAAGTGGGTTTACATTTCATTTCAATGAATGAAACTGGAAAGGAAACCCATTCTGAAATCTTCAGCATTCTTTTATTCTGTCTATATTTCTTTCCTTTTTTTCAAACAGCTCCACCAGTTTGTTCAAGGCATCTCATTTAATAACTCAGCTGGAGAAACTGTGTCCTTTAATGATCAATGGGAAATGAGTGGTGGATTTGACATCATGAACTTCGTCACCTTTCCCAACAATTCCTTTCAGAGAATAAAAGTTGGAAGTGTTGTTCCTTCTGCTCCTGAAGGGAAAGTATTCACCATTAGTGAGGACAGAATTATCTGGCACAGATATTTTAATGAGGTATTGTTTCTGGGGCTATCTTGGTGAACCCATTGCACTGAAGTATGAAGGAATGAGTACTTCCCTCTCCCCCAGCCCCCATGATCTGATCTTGCAATGGTACATAAACTCTAAAATGAATTCAATGATTCCTTTCACATTCATAAACTAGTAGCTACATTTAAATTCCAGATAATGCTGCTCCTATTTGGAATATCATTTTACCTTTTCCATACATAGCTAATGAACTCTGAACTTTAATTCACTTTGTAGAAACCTAAAGCAGGATTGTGTCTTCCTGAAATCATTGTCTTGTCCTTGCTTGTCCACTTCCTTTGCTCCATTACTTTGCTCTTGCAGTGCAGTAATAATAATAATAATAATAATAATAATAATAATAATAATAATAATAATAATTTATTTCTTTTGGCTGGGTTTCCCCTTTTGGCTGGGTTTCCCCAGCCACTCTGGGTGGCTTCCAACAGAAGGTTAAAAATACATTAAAACATCAATCATTAAAAACTTCCCTAAAACAGGGCTGCCTTCAGATGTCTTCTAAATGTCCTATAGTTGTTTTTCTTTGACATCTGATGGGAGGGCATTCCTCAGGGCAGGCACCACTACCGAGAAGGCCCTCTGCCTGGTTCCCTGTAACTTCGCTTCTCTCAGTGAGGGAACCACCAGAAGACCCTTGGCGCTGGGCCTCAGTGTCTGGGCAGAACAATAGGGGTGGAGATGCTCCTTCAAGTATACTGGGTTGAGGCCGTTTAGGGCTTTAAAAGTCAGCAACCAACACTTTGAATTGAGCTCAGAAGCATACAGTACATCAGCCCTGAAATTTGTACAACCATACTACTTCAGCAGATGTTTTATTGTCATCTGTCATGGATACTTTATTTGAGATCCTTGCATTGCAGGGAGTTGGACTAGATGGTCCTCATATTCACCTCCAACTCAACAGTTCTATGAGTCTATCATTCATAATGGTGTCCTTGCATGTTACATTTGAAAGTGTTGGAGCTCAATGGTAGAGCATATGTTTTCCATGCAAAAGACCCCATGTTCAGTCTTTAGCATTTCCAGGTTTAGACATTACTCAGTGTGATGTGTCAAAGATCTGAGTTACTACATGATAGCACTGTAAGGTCTTCTGCGTATCTCCTTTACAGTGGTACCTTGGCTTACAGATGCTTCAGGTTACAGAATCTGCTAACCCAGAAATAGTACCTCGGGTTAAGAACTTTGCTTCAGGATGAGAACAGAAATCGCACAGCAGTGGCACGGCGGCAGTGGGAGGCCCCATTAGCTAAAGTGATACCTCAGGTTAAGAACAGTTTCAGGTTAAGAACGGACCTCCAGAATGAATTAAGTTCTTAACCCAAGGTACCACTGTATTTTTAAAAAACCCAACCCGATTTATATTCCACTTAAATACAATAATCTCTAAGTTGTTTACAAAGATATCAAACAAAGATTGATTGATATTTATTACGGCCATTGGCCCGTCACACGACAGTTTCCCACCAACATATATATACTTAAACCTCCAAATTTAAAACAGCCAAAAACTTACAAAAACTTACAAAAACCAGATGAGAACCAAAGCAAAATAAGCAAAAGACCAACACATACATTACAATAAATTTGCAACATAAACATCGCCCTCTGCTCATAAATTAATAAAAGACATCAGTGGTGATAACACCTAGTTACATCCTAAAACATAGATCATGGTTTAAAAGGGTTATCCGAGCCGCACAGGAGTCCGTTTTTCTTCTTTAGGGATAGGACGCTGATCAAAAATCTGGCAACTGTGAGTGATCTTAGGGGGTCTTCATCATTTAGTAGATATCTCAGTTTGGCTTCATTCGAATCACCGGCGATTCCCTTTAGATATGGATCAAGAAACTTGCTCCTGGCCGATGAGTGAAAAGCACAATCAAAGATTATGTGATGCAATGATTCCGGTGCCCCACAATTACAATCACATAAGAGTGATATCTGTCCATTGGAAAATCTATTTCTCAGCACGTTCGATGGGAAGGTGTTGAAGCTTGCCTTTATAAAGGCATATCTATGAGCCGAGGAAGTTAAGGAATTCAAATAATTTGGGATCCTTAAGAGGGGTAATAAGCCAAGGTTTTGAGGTGAGCAGGTACCATTGCCCAACACCATTTTCTGCTGCAAGTCCATCTCCTCTAGTTTACAGGTTACTGTTCTTTTAGCTGGAACTATTTCCTGCTCTAGTAATTTAGATGGGGAGATTCCCATTGCCGTAATTTTCAGTTGTAAATTTTTTACCCATGGGCTCTGGAAATCATCTCTCCACATACATTGTATCAAATACAAGTTTGGGAGATTGTGCCATAGAGATAACCAGTGACAGAGTATGTGCTTCCACAGGGCGTTTTCCAGGGATACAATATTAAGTTCCATGCGTAACACTGTATTACATACACAGTTGGGCAGTTTCAATATCCCTCTTAAAAACTGATTTTGAATAACCTCTAGGTGAGATAGGTTGACAAAAGTCCCCCAAGTTGAGATGGCATAAGCAATTGTCGGGATCACCTTGGCCTTTCAACGCCGATGGGATGTGGAGGGCTCCATCGGTGAAGAGGAATCGCAAGATCACCAAGGAGATAGCTTTGGCTCTCAAACAAAGATTCAGTTAATACTACAAAATCAAACGACAACTAATAAACCCACCAGAATAAAACCAGAAAAACTCTATGTTCTAGAAGTTCATTAGGGGCATCCTGAAAATTCTACTGCTGGGTAAAAAAATCAGCCATGCCAGTATGGAATAAAGTAGAATAAGTAATGAATGTGGGTGTAATTATTAGGGAAATGTGACTATTCAAGTCCCTCCTATTCTGGCACATCACAGTAATACCTCCTGACACTTTTGTCACATTGATGACCAACTTGATAAAAACAAAAGCTTCAAGTTTCATTTAGTTCATCATAATGTTGACATTCCAGTAAGTATTCTTCTGAACATTTTCAGGCAACTTACATACAGGCCATAGCTGTCAACTTTTCCCTTTTCTTGAGAGGAATCCTATTCAGACTAAGGGGATTTTCCTTTAAAAAAGGGAAAGTTGACAGCTATGGTACAGGCAGCTCTATGAGCTCTACCATGATAGTTTGAATTTTACAAAAAGTAATGGAAGAGGAGGAACAGAATGCTAATTAAATCAAAAAAATCTACACATGCACAGGCATCCTGAATCTATATATCATAGATAATTTCATTTGGTTTAAAAATGTGGCAGGGTTGTTTCCTAATTGCTATGATATGTCATCAGTAAGTAAGAACTATATTTCTTCAATATCACTTAATCACAGGTGGTTCCTCTTTCTGTGTGTAATGAATATTGCCACCCTGGTCATCATAAGAAAAGGAAGGAGGGTGAACAATTTTGCTGCTATGATTGTGCTCCATGTCCAGAGGGGAAGATTTCAAACCAAACTGGTAGGTCATGTCACATTGCCATAACAAAGGGTAAAAATAATTTGCCATATTCAATGAATTGACACTCAGTTGGAACTCCCCTACCCTATGCTTTCAGATATGGAAGACTGTTTCAAATGCCCAGAAGATCAATATCCAAGCAAGAATAGAAATCAATGCAACCCCAAAGTTATACACTTTCTGTCTTATGAAGAACCTTTAGGGAAAGGCTTAGCTTCAACTGCAGCTTCTTTTTCTTTCATCGCAACCTTGGTGTTTGCTTCTTTTGTTAAGCATAAAGATACCCCCATAGTCAAAGCCAACAACCGGGACCTCACCTACATCCTCCTGGTCTCCCTCCTGCTTTGCTTCCTGTCTACTTTTCTATTCCTTGGCCAACCTGGGAAAGTGACCTGCCTTCTCCGACAACCAGCTTTCAGCATCATCTTCTCAGTGGCTGTTTCTTGTGTGTTGGCCAAAACCATCATAGTTTCTCTAGCATTCATGGCCACAAAACCCGGATCCTCAGTGAAGAAATGGGTGGGGGGGAAAGTGCCATATTCAATTGCTGTTTCTGGTTCACTTCCTCAAATGTGTTTTTGCACAGTGTGGCTCTCAACCTTTCCCCCATTCCCTGAATTAGACATCCATTCAGTAAATGAAGAAATCATTGTTCAGTGTAATGAAGGGTCCATCACCATGTTCTACTGTGTCCTGGGCTACATGGGTCTCCTGGCCATCATCAGCTTCATTGTGGCCTTCCTGGCCCGCAAGCTACCTGACAGTTTTAATGAAGCAAAATTCATTACATTCAGCATGTTGGCATTTTGCAGTGTTTGGCTGTCCTTTGTTCCAACTTACCTGAGCACCAGAGGAAAAGGCATGGTGGCTGTGGAGATCTTCTCCATCTTGGCCTCCAGTGCTGTGCTTCTGGGATGCATCTTTTTCCCTAAGTGCTACATCATTGTGCTGAGGCCTGAACTGAACAGCAGGGAGCAGATAATGAGGAGAAAGAATTAAGAAAATCATCCTCCTTTCTCCAATCATATTGCTTTTCATGATGGGCAAGTATTTTACATACAGATCAGCTGCAAGGACTGTGGTGTAAAATAATACATAAGCTGTGGGCAGACAAACCACAGGCAGACAAATTGTAGAATACCAACCCGCTATTTATTCTATTTACTTAAATTTAAGAACAGTTCCTTAAGGAACTTAAGGAATGCAATCAGTTACAATGGGGGCTAGAGCTTAGCCAAGTGATCAGAGGACATAGCTTCAACTGAACTCTTCCAGTATGGAAGTGTGATCTCAAAAAAGGCACTGTGTTTTGTTAAGCAGAAATTCAACAGTTGCTGAGGGTGCATTGGACCTCATTTTCATCCTCCATTCCCTTAACCCCTTCTCTCTCTCTCTCTCTCTCTCTCTCTCTCTCTCTCTCTCTTGAAATTGTTCCCTTTGATCTTAAATATGATATGATCACATCTTTTGATGGAAAATTATACTCTTTTACATACTGAACTGGATAAGTGTACAACTATTTCATACAAGTAGTTCCACAAAATTTGTGTTTTTGTTTTTAAGATAGAGAAATGTTCCGGTAATCTCTATGATGTTTTTACTGCTAATGCCACACTCTTAACATTTGGTGAGAAAAAAGAAGCTGGCACTGAGTATCCTTGATTATCCCCAGAGAAAAAGCACTGCACAGCTCTCATAACTCTTAAACAAAATTGAAGATTAAATAAAGCACTACCCGCCCTCTTCTTAATTCCAAGTGTTGCGCTGTTGAGATTGGCAGTGTCCTCACCCGATTTATGACACATCTGGTGGGGGATTTCAGAGTTTTAGGGGAAGGGGCAAAAGGTATTGCACCATGGCAATGGCTATTATTGACTTCTTTTTTTCCTAATGGTGATCTGCATTAACACAATAAATGTATTTCTTTCTGTCTATCTGTTGATTGACCATTTGATATAGACATGATCTTTATATTTTTATTGCATCAACTAGCTATTGGAGCAAAAAGCAAAGCAATAACTGTCATTACTATCCAAAGTGTATATAACCCACCCACGGTCTGTGTGAATCTGCAGTCTGCGTTAATCTGTAGTCCTTACTCACACAAGCAAAGAAAGCAGGGATGGCAGGCACCATCCAGCAGCTAATCATTGGCATTTCCAAAGCCCTATTCCTTTACTCCTATAGTTTGTTAGTAAGACATGGTAGCAAAATCACATGATGCCAAGTGATTGGCAGGTGGGTAAGATGAAACTCTAATTCTAAGATAGAAACGCCTTCATTGCAGGACTATCATTGCTTGGGTTATTTAGTCAAGTTACTGGCTTTACCAAAGTGTGTCACTCTCCTGATTTAATTGGTTTTTCAGAGATACAGTGGAATCTTGGGTTATGGACGCAATTCGTGACGGAGGCACGTCCACAGCCCGCAGCATTCACATCCTAAACCGTTGCGTCTGCTCAGGGGCTGGCGCGACCATTTCCCATGGTCCGCAACCCAAAAACACATAACCTGAAGCGTCCGTAACATGAGGTATGACGGTATCAGGAAACAAAAAAAAAATTCTCATTGCTTCATGGCATAGAAGGGATATTTGTGGACATTTAGATGTCATTGAATCTTTGATCTTGCAGGCAGGAATCCACAGAAGTTGTTGTCCATCAACAAAGTGCCAAATTAATAATGCACCTGCTTTAGGGAACAGAGAAGAGTTGTGGACTGTTCCATAAAGATGAAGAAACTTTTTCCCTACCCAAAGTGTCACTCCGTATCAAATCTCTGAAGAAGCAATTATTTCTCTCTGCAATTATCCAAAATATTATAATTTGCTCACCTTTCTGAAGTTTCTGGTGCTTTCTAGAAGGCAAGAGAAAACAGTCAGTAAGCAAGCCTGAAAGTACCGTAGTTATAAAATAACCCCTTATGCCATTAGGCGATAATTAAGTGCAATAGGCAGGCAAGTCCGTCTATGACATGCTCTCCTTTTTGCATCTTGGTCTTCTAGTATTGGCAATCTCACATAGGATGCAAGTTACGAATTAGGGAACTTATAGAGTCAGAAACACTTTTCTGCCAACATGTTAGAAATAGGAGTGCTGATGCTCCTGCTGACTCCCCTTGTGTCTCAAGAAGAAACTATGAAATGTCACACTGGTGATCCCCTCCCTGTTCCACATGAATGGTACCATCTAGGTTGCCTCCTCATTGGTGGAATGGCTTCTCATATCTCTTATATAGTCTATCAGGTTACTTTTGAGGAACACCCTTCTCAGAACCTGTTTGACTTTCCACGGTAAGGATTCCTCACTCCATCTGCATTTTCTAAACTGTATACCTTATAATTATTAAGAGATATGTGAATACTCTCCTTCCAGATATGAATGCCTTTTCTGTTTGAAAATGAGCGCACACACAAAAAATAAAATCTCAAAAAGGGAAGATATAAAAGCACTGACTAATGTCACTGGGGATGGGATGGTGGTAATGGAAACTATAGTCTTTTTCAGCTCCATTACAATTGCCTTTTTGGGGAACCAAAAGTTATATTTTTTCTTCTTGGTGAACTCTTAAGTACCTATCTTGTACATCTCCATGCACACACAGGGACACACATTCACTTAATGATAAAGGAATGCAAATATTTGATTTAGCATGGGCTTAGATGGTATAATGGACAATATATGGACAATCTAAATGCAATCTAAATGCAACAGAATAGTAAACTTTGCACTGTTCATAGCTTGGTATGCTTAAAACTTTGTTTAAGAAGATGCTATGCATAAATTGTGGTGCATCAGGGGAAAAAAGAAACGGTAAATGCAAAATGACTCAGTTGCATTTAGAAATTTCTGGGTTTGTAGCATAATGAATTTGTGCATAATGGACACATCTTCTGAGATATTAAAATAAGGTCTCCTGGCAGTGTCATAACCAAGTTCTACCAGCACAGCCTGGCTTTGGCATTTGCGGTAAACGAGATCAACGAGAATGTCAATATCCTGCCCAATGTCACCCTCGGTTTCCACATCTCCGACAGCTATGACAGTGCAAGGATGACCTATCGGACGACACTGGACCTGATTTTCAAGTCACATACATTTCTTCCCAACTACAAATGTGGCAAACAGAAAACCCTTCTTGGCATTATTGGAGGACTTGGCTCTGACACCTCTTTCCTTATGATGGACATCATTGGCCTCTACAAAATTCCACAGGTAATATCTGTGCATGTGGATGTTGGAAAATTATTTATTGCTCAGCTATGAAGTTCCAAAGAAGGGAGTAATATTGATGACAAGTAGTAAAATCTTAGGAAGATTGTAATGTCCCTATCACTCAAGAAATACTTCAGAAATATTTGTTGCATGAATCCACTCCCAGCCACACCCTTCTGAAATAAATAGATTGGTATTAATGAATCTCTCTGGTCTCTGCACATTTTCTTATAGCTGATATATGGCTCCTTTGCACCAGATGAGATCCAAACAATGGGTGCTCCTCCCTTTTACCGCATGGTTCCAAATGAAAACCTTCAGTATATGGGTATTATATGGTTACTTCAGCATTTTAGCTGGACCTGGGTTGGGCTCTTTGTTGTGGATGATAACAGTGGAGAACAATTCCTCAGAATACTGGAGCCATTGTTTTCCAGGCATGGAATCTGTTCAGCCTTCATAAAAAGAATACCACAAGATGCTCGTATGGAGGAATTCATCAATAATTTTAATGATGCAAGTCCAATTGATGTATCTTTCCAAGAACGTAAAGCTGGTACAATTATCGTGTATGGAGAATCTTTAACAATTTTGTGGCTGAGAACTTTTATATGTTCACAGGATTCAGGAAATATGCAAAACACATTCTTTGGGAAAGTGTGGATTATGACAATGCAGATGGATTTTATATTAACGGGTGCTGCCAGAGGATGGGGTTTTCAGATGTTCCAGGGTGCCATTTCTTTCACAATTCACACAAAAGAAGTACCAGGTTTCAGAGAATTTCTTCAAATCATTAAGCCAAATTGGACTCAAGGAGAAGGGTTTCTCAAAGATTTCTGGGAACAAGCCTTTGACTGTTTCTTTCCAGATCCAGGGGTGCCTATAATGGATGATGACAGCTGTACTGGAGAGGAGAGGCTGGAAAGTCTCCCTGCTGGACTTTTTGAAATGCACATGAGTGGCCACAGCTACAGCATTTATATTGCTGTCTATGCTTTGGCTCATGCTTTGCATGCCATGTACTCATCTAGGTCCAAGCACAGGCAAATGCTGGTTGGTAACAATGTTGAATTTCAGAATCTTCAGCCTTGGCAGGTAATGTCTTACCAGAAAGTATTTCAATATACTGTGTAGTATAATGTGAAGCTACATTCAGGTTTTTACTTAAATCTTTAATGGAAATATCCATGAATCCCCCCCCCCTATCTTTTTCAATTAGCTCCATTCATTCCTTCGAGGCATTTCATTTAACAACTCAGCTGGAGAAACTGTGTCCTTTAATGATAAACGGGAAATGAGAGGTGGATTTGACATCATGAACCTGGTCATCTTGCCAAATAATTCATTCCAGAAAGTGAAAGTAGGGAGGGTTGATCCCAGTGCCCATGAAGGAAAACGATTCACTGTCCATGAGGATACAATCGTATGGCCTAGAGCATTTAATGAGGCATGGATTCTGTTCATTCTTAATTTGAAAACTGTGTCAAATTTTCTATGCATTGTTTATTAGCTCTGAGGTTTACATCACTTTGCTTCTTCTTGTCTGTGATCCTGAAGTTAACTCTGCCACTCTGATTGCAAAGAGTCTGCTGCTAGGAGTCGTTCACAGAACCTTTTACAATTAACTGTGTTGGAGATAGATAAGGTGGTAATTAAGCTGTTTGCTGAATTCCTTGTGCCTCTGATATATCCTTCCAGCAATACAATGGTACCTCGGTTTAAGTACTTAATTCATTCCGGAGGTCCATTCTTAACCTGAAACTGTTCTTAACGTGAAGCACCACTTTAGCTAATGCAAAATTCTTAACCCGAGGTACCATTCCTGGGTTAGCGGAGTCTATAACCTGAAGCGTATGTAACCTGAGGTACCACTGTACCCACTTTCTCAGATTTTGACATGGATGCTGGAAAGAATGAAAGCTTCAAACTTTATTTCATTCATTCTGATTTACTTACTCTGCCCTCCATTTTTGGAATATCTTACAACCAACACTCTTTAAGCACAACATAGGAGATTTTATCTAATTCAGATATTATAGCCAGTGCTTTTTTCTGGGGGGACACAGGGTTATGCATACCCCTAAACATTTTGTGAATCTAAGTTTGGCCTCATTGAGGGACAGTATTTCAAAATGAGTAGGAAAATGAGAGTACCCCTAACCATTTTTTTAAAGGAAAAAAGGACTACTGATAGACGTTTGATGATTTTCTACAAAATGTAATGTGGAGAAGCTATAGTCTGCTTTAAGAGAAAAGGGGAAGCAAATTTCATCGCTATCAGTCTGAAATGGGCACATCCACTGTTATAATTGTCCAGGAAGGTTTAAAATCAAATAATTTATTCTGCAAATACATAAACTTACCTATTGTAACTATTGATATTAGGCTATATCAGCAATTAAAGAATCTTGTTTTGAATATTATTTATTTATTTCAAGAGTTTATATGCCACTTAAATAAACAAGGTCAGTTAAAGTTAACCAAAAGCTTTTTCATACTGATTTCCCTCCCTGTTTTTGGACAGGTGCTCCCTCTTTCGGTGTGTAATGAACAATGCCATCCTGGTCATCAGAAGAAAATGAAGGAAGGGGAAAAGTTTTGTTGCTATGATTGTGTCCCATGCTTAAATGGAAAGATATCAAACCAGATTGGTGTGTGGTGTAATTTTGCCATCACATAGGTTTTTTTTTTTTTTTACTTTGTTGTGTCACATTAATTCACACCGAGTTTAGAGCTTTTTCTGTTTTTCAGATATGGACAACTGTTTCAAATGCCCAGAAGACCAGTATGCAAACAAAAATAAAAATGGTTGCATCCCTAAAGTTATAACCTTTTTATCATATGAAGAACCTCTAGGGCTCACTTTGGCCTCAACTGCAGTTTCTTTTTCACTGACCACAGCCCTGGTGCTAGGAATGTTTATTAAGCACAGAGATACCCCAATAGTCAAAGCCAACAACAGGGACCTCTCCTACACTCTCCTCGTCTCCCTCCTACTCTGTTTTCTCTCTTCTTTGTTATTCCTTGGCCATCCTGGAAAAGTGATCTGCCTCCTTCAACAAGCAGCTTTTGGCATCATCTTCTCAGTGGCTGTTTCTTGTGTGCTGGCCAAAACCACAATAGTTTCTCTCGCATTCATGGCTACAAAACCAGGATCTAGAATGAAGAAATGGGTGGGGAGGAAAGTGTCCTGTTCAATTGTAATTTGTTGCTCACTTGTTCAAATAGGTATTTGTACTGTGTGGCTGGCAACCTTTCCCCCATTCCCCGATTTAGACATGCATTCGGTAAATGAAGAAATCATTGTACAGTGTAATGAAGGGTCAGCCTTCATGTTCTACTGTGTCCTGGGCTACATGGGTCTTCTTGCCATGATCAGCTTCATTGTGGCATTCCTTGCCCGCAAGTTACCCGACACTTTTAATGAAGCCAAATTCATCACTTTCAGCATGCTGGCATTTTGCAGTGTTTGGCTGTCCTTTATTCCGACTTACCTGAGCACCAGAGGGAAAGGCATGGTGGCTGTGGAGATCTTCTCCATCTTGGCCTCCACTTCTGGGTTACTGGGCTGTATCTTTTACCCGAAATGCTACATCATTGTGTTGCGACCAGAACTGAATAGCAGGGAAAAACTAATAAGGAGAAAGTATTAAGGAATCTTATATTTTCATTCTATCCTATATTTATGCATGTTGGAAAAGAGCCTTAGGAGCAGTTCAGAATATTGGTAGATATTCAGTTATATTGATGTCTCTTGGAAAAGTTTCTGTTCATGCTCAGATTTTGCCTTAGTATATTTTGCAAAATGCTTCATTCAAGGAACATTTTCATAAGGAGTAGTTTGGGCAGAGTTCTTGTGCTTTTTGTGATTCTGTCAATTTTCAACAATATTGCTTGTCAGTCGTGATGAAGCTTGAGTACTCCAAATGTTATTCAACTCCAGCCCCATTACCTCTAGTCAAGGATGAGGGATGATGGGAGTTGCATTCAATTAGCATCTCTAGGAAACCAAATGGCCGAAGGTTGTCTAGCTCTATACATAGCTTGGCTTTGAGGAGGGGAGTATCCTCATATTGTCCCCACCCATGTTGTAAATAAACACTTGGTAGGACTAGATGGCATCTTACATATTTTCCAAATGTATAGGGAAAGGGGGCAAAGTGATGTTTTGTTCAGGTCCTGTGTGTGGATTTCACACATGGATCTGGTAGGCTAATGTGGAAAAGGGACTCTGAACAAGATGTGCCACTGGTCTGATTCAGTGAGGCTCTTATCATGTTCGCATGGCATGCTTCTAATAAATGAAATGGAATGGAATTTAGCATATGACTACTACAGGAATGAGGAGACAGCTACACAGTAGGGTTCTGCAAGAATCCCCAAATGAGATTTGTGGGTCTGATTTGTAGATCCACATTGGAAGAGTGATCGAAGGACTCGTGCTGTGAATGCTTTTTGCCTTAGTTGTCAAAATGACTTTTGTTTGGTTGTTTAACATTTACACATTTATTGAAATTAGATACATGAATTGCTTTGCAATATGCATCATTTACATATTCATTTATGTAAAATTCCCACTGAGAACAAGCAAACAATGGATTGCATCACTCACTATTGTTCTTTTCACATGAAAAGAGCTTATCTCTTTGGCTACCTATGGCCTTTATCGGTGCTCCTCTGTGAAAGTTGGAGCCACTTGGCCAAAGTGGGCAGGACCATCTGGATTTGAGTGCTCATTATTGACCATTCATCCATTCCCTCAAATCTTTGTTTGAAAAGTAAAATTAAATTTAAAATTTCTTTTCTCCACCCTGATCAACTTTCTCTCACTGATGTCTGAGTGAGGGAAAGATGACAAGAAATCAATGCTGTGTTATAGGTTGCAATTCCAATCTCACTTATGTGGTAATGAGCCCCAATGAATTAATGAGATTTATATCTGAGTAGATATGTTTATGTTTGTAGTCCTAGATGCCTTTGTTAAGGACCACTAGCCATGTTGTTTAACCTTAGATACAAGGTGCCTCAAGATACTATGCTGTTTTTCCTGCTGAAGAGTAACAGAGCTACCCCCTTGGAAATTCAATAATTTTGAAAAGGAAAATAGAAAGGAGGTAATTGATTTGTAAATAAAGCATATGTTGAGGGATAAGATTTGTGTGTCTGTTGTGATATGCATCAGTAGAATATAAAAAGGAAGATAGACTTTTACAAAATACACCAACTGTGTAGAAACACAAAATAACAAATACAAGTTATTACAGTTATTTTTACAGCAGCGCTCACAACCAATGCAAGTTCAATGAAAGTCTATGTTTGGCAATCCACACAGAAGACCACTTATGGCATATGGAGCATAGATTGTTCATCTACCTGAAGTATGCCAGCCTGTGACTGGTGAAAAGTTCAAAGGAAGAACATATCTTTTTAATTAGGGTTACCATATTCCCCAAAGTGAGAATCCAGTCAACACCCCTTTGCCGTTCATCTGTGTTTTCCTGGGCATTTTGATGGACAGCCCTATTTTTAATAGACGAGGTACAGGGTTCAATCCCTGATATTTCCATGTTTAGTATTAACTAAAATTGAGCAACATTGACTCTACTGAGCTTCCAGTGCTTTAGGAACTGGGGCTTTATAGAATTCCTCAGGCCTCAGGTAAGGGGGAAAACTGTGAATATATAGTGCTAGTGAACTGTTGATTTATAAACTCAATTCATTCAGGGAGATCTGGTGCTATGGTGTCCAAAACACTGTTCATTATGATTGGGGCTAGAGCTAAGCCAATGACTCAGGTTACACTACTTATCCTAATATCACAACATTGCAGAGTTGGAAAGTTTAGTCAGAATCTCTCTCTCTCTCTTGGTATATGGAAACCATTGGTTTGGGTCCTATACATGGGTGTAGCCAGGGATTTTGTTGTTGAGGTGTTTTTTTTTAGAAAATCAAGTTGCTGAGTTGTTGTTTTTTTAAAAAAAGGAAATCATCATGGTACATGCCTCCCAGCCATTGCTGGGAGCAATGCCATTGCAATACCTAATTCTGGTTTCTTTTCCTTTTTAATGGTGTTTGTCATTACTGTAAGAAACAGTTATAGCATAGCTCTCAGTGTTCACAGTGGCAGCCAACATTTCCAGGCTCCTTTTGGAGTTTGAAATTTGGAACTGAGGTCCCAAGTCCCATCTCTTTAGGAAGAAGAGAAGACTTCTGGTCAACTGTGGAAAAGAGCCAACATGTTTCCTTTCAAAAGTGCCATTCAGGATCTACACTCTGAAGATGTAATTATCTCTTCCTACAATTAGCCAAAGCACTGTAATGTGTTCACCTGTCTAAAGCTCTCAAGGCTCTGCAGAATGCAGAAGAAAACAGTCACTATGGGGGCCTGAAAGTGATTATACAGAACTGCCTGTAGCATGGGCAGCTGGGAATAAGTACATGAGGTAAACATGGCAATCTCTGAGACTTCCCCCTTTTCTTTTTATAAGCCACATTGAAAATGGAAAGCTGCTGATATCTGATAGTACTCAAGTCATTTGTCACACTCTTACTGAAAATTCTAGGGCTAATTTGGCAGAGTCAGGGACCATTCCATCTAAACCACTGAAACAAGGTGATGGATGCAAGAGAATTTGTGTTTACAAAGAACTTTTGCTGCCAACATGTTGAGAATGACAATGCTGCTACTTCTTCTGCCTCCCATTGTCTGCCAAGTAGATATTATGGGATGTCTTGGAGATGATCCCCTCCCTGTTCCACATGATTTGTACCAGTCAGGTGATCTCCTCATTGGTGGGATTGCTTCTCAGATCTCTTACTTTTTCAACAAAGTCTCTTTCAAGGAACATCCGTCTCAGAAAATGTTTGATGTTCCAAGGTAAGAATCCCCATTTGCAATTCCTGAATGTGTTATATTTTAGTTGTTAAAAGTAAATACTGTTTCTGCCATTCCAAGAACGAGAACTTACTTTTATAATGGAAACCAGGAATGGGGGCAACTTCAATGGTTGCATTTAATCTGCTTATTTTGTACACCTCTAGATGCCTTAAAATTTTATGCAGGTTGTGTACCTATGGTACAAAACAGCAGGAGTACATCAAAGCTTCAGAAATCACATTATGAGGAAAGCTATTTTCAAAGTCTGAAAGAAGTATAAAGGATTATTGGAACAAAAACACCATGTGGCTCTTCCCACTAGAGGCAATTTCAGGGAAGAAATTAAATATGGAAACTGAATGGGCTATGTATAGAGAATTGGTAATTGAATTGTTGTTGTTGTTTAGTCGTTTAGTCGTGTCCGACTCTTCGTGACCCCATGGACCAGAGCACGCCAGGCACCTCTGTCCTCCACTACCTCCCGCAGTTTGGTCAAACTCATGCTGGTAACCTCAAAAACACTATCCAACCATCTCGTCCTCTGTCGCCCCCTTCTCCTTGTGCCCTCCATCTTTCCCAGCATCAGTGTCTTCTCCAGGGAGTCTTCTCTTCTCATGAGGTGGCCAAAGTACTGGAGCCTCAGCTTCACGATCTGTCCTTCCAGTGAGCACTCAGGTCTGATTTCCTTAAGAATGGATGCATTTGATCTTCTTGCCGTCCATGGGACTCTCAAGAGTCTTCTCCAGCACCATAATTCAAAAGCATCAATTCTTCAGCGATCAGCCTTCTTTATGGTCCAGCTCTCACTTCCATACATCACTACTTGGAAGACCATGGCTTTAACTATACGGACCTTTGTTGGCAAGGTGACATCTCTACTTCTCAAGATGCTGTCTAGGCCTGTCATTGCCCTTCTCCCAAGAAGCAGGCGTCTTTTAATTTCGTGGCTGCTGTCACCATCTGCAGTGATCATGGCGCCCAAGAAAGTAAAATCTCTCACTGCCTCCATTTCTTCCCCTTCTATTTGCCAGGAGGTGATGGGACCAGTGGCCATGATCTTCGTTTTTTTTTTTGATGTTGAGCTTCAGACCATATTTTGCGCTCTCCTCTTTCACCCTCATTAAAAGGTTCTTTAATTCCTCCTCACTTTCTGCCATCAAGGTGGTGTCATCTGCATATCTGAGGTTGTTGATATTTCTTCCGGCAATCTTAATTCCATCTTGGGATTCATCCAGCCCAGCCTTTCGCATGATGTATTCTGCATATAAATTAAATAAGCAGGGAGACAAAATACAGCCTTGTCGTACTCCTTTCCCAATTTTGAACCAATCAGTTGTTCCATATCCAGTTCTAACTGTAGCTTCTTGTCCCACATAGAGATTTCTCAGGAGACAGATGAGGTGATCAGGCACTCCCATTTCTTTAAGAACTTGCCATAGTTTGCTGTGGTCGACACAGTCAAAGGCTTTTGCATAGTCAATGAAGCAGAAGTAGATGTCTTTCTGGAACTCTCTAGCTTTCTCCATAATCCAGCGCATGTTTGCAATTTGGTCTCTGGTTCCTCTGCCTCTTCTAAATCCAGCTTGCACTTCTGGGAGTTCTCGATCCACATACTGCTTGAGCCTTCCTTGTAGAATTTTAAGCATAACCTTGCTAGCGTGTGAAATGAGTGCAATTGTGCGGTAGTTGGAGCATTCTTTGGCACTGCCCTTCTTTGGGATTGGGATGTAGACTGATCTTCTCCAATCTTCTGGCCACTGCTGAGTTTTCCAAATT